AATGTAATTTATAGAAACCACCATTTATAAATCTGAACTTGTTTTTGTAGTTAGGTAGTGTAAATATTCAGTGTGATTCATGTGGAGTTAGGAGTTGTCACCATACACTAAAATTTCAAACTCAATTTCACTACTAAAGAAAAAACGTAATACTCAGAGTTTTTTTCTTAAATAGAAAACACTCTGTTCCAACTTGTGATGTCATGTGGTGATACAGGAATTGCTCCACTGCGTTTTTTTTAAACTCCATCCACCTTCACTACAATAATTTGGATCATTTCAGTCCTGAAATTGCTTATCTCTACTGAACTAAAAGTAAAAGGTAGCTGTGAAAACTACAACTACATGACATGGGTGGAACTGAGGATTTGGGGCTTTGAAGATTTAGGAAGACTTATAATTAAGGATTACTAAAACATGTTTTTGATGAGGTAACGGCATTGTAACAGCCCTTAAAGCTCACAAGAGTTAGTTTTGCGTAATAGGACCTCAATCAACCCAATAACTGCAATGTCTGTTATTTATAAAGAAATCAAAATCAAGAAGTAGTGGTAATTTACATCAACTTTGCATAATGTAATTAGTTATAATGATTAGTATTTAGTATTGAATATATTGAAAATGTTCAAATGATTGCACATACATAAATTTAGCCAAAGCTTTCTTATTTACACCTAAAATATAATGTATTGTCATGTGCACTTTGTTACAGTGTTTTTGTCGATTTAAAACATATGCACTGAGTCAGAGTCAGAGAAAGAGTGCTCCTGAAATAGTATAAATGAAATAAAATTATTATGCAAAATCTTGAGAAATCTTACTTAAGGTGACTGTCAGCTTTAATCTGACCTGAATCTATGACTAACTGCAGCTGAGCCTTTCATCTACGGTAATTGCTTTCTCATTAAAGTGAAAAGTGACATTAGATTAATTAATGCCAGAACTTGCCACAGACTGTCTAACGAATCAGGCTTGAGATCGTGATACTTAAAATGAAGTCTGTCTAGCTCGTGGACATATAAATGTAACCACTTGATGATTCATGCACTCATCTTACATATACTGCAAATGTATGGCTTTAGGCGGCCTCCCTGTCTGACATTTTCTGTTCCTTTTTGTCTGTTTTTAGACACTATGGAAGCATGAAGAGAAAGCATCCAGGAGGCAAAGTGGCTGTGCTGTGCTGAGAGCAGAGAGCCCACTATAGTCATAATATACAGAGAGCACACAGAGAGCCTAATGGACGCCTCGCTCGGTGCATTGTACAATGGTTCAGACGAGGCAACAAAATGGCTGAATAATGCAAGAGTTCACAGGGAAATGAGACACGTCGTATTAGTCAAAGCTGGAGCGGCTCACACAAAATGACAACATTCAATTACAGCACAGCACAGGCTTTACAAGTGTTACATTATGGCTGTTGCTTTTGTCTCATGTATTGTACAATGCTCTATTACTCTTTTACTTTTAATGCCTGTTGTTGATATTTTAAATGTGTTTAGACTAGCCACTAATATTTAGACATGTAGATTAAACTAGATGAAGTTTGAAGTGTTATACTCTGCACACAATTATGGATTGTAAATATTAATTCATTTTGTCGAATAATTTGTAAATGCATGACAGAAAAATTGAAATAAAGCTATAGACATTTGCTAAATGGTTGAAAGAAGATGCAAAGATGATAATGTGTATGTAAAGAAAGCATTTGGTGTTTTTAGAAATAAACAATGGTTTAAAACAGAGAGGGTTACTAGTATGTAAAGAAATGGAGATGAAATAAAGTGGAAATGTTCTTCTTGATCTGCTTTTCCTCTGTCACACCACAAATCACAGTAATATTATTGTGCAGTTTGCTCCTTGAAATAATCACTGACAGTCGGAGAAGACAAACAGTGTCGGCCAGTAAAAATAACACAATCATCAACAGGATCATGTAGTGCAGAGGAAGTCTGTGGGAATGGAGACAGCGCTGACTCCGGAGGATGAGTGAGCTGTGACTGCGAGCATGGGAAACCATATAAGTGTTTGTGTGGGCTTTAAAGTGATGACGCTCCGCTCGTCCCCCTGAGGAGTAATGGGCTGAAACATGGAGAGACTGAGCTCCATCAGGCTGCACAGAGCCACACCGCGTTAGAGAGATACAGAACCACTGTGTGCACCATGAACATCTACTTTAACCGGAGAGGACCGTTTGCCAGGCAAACCGCAGAGGAAAGACCTTCCACAGGTAACTTCACTTATAATTACTCCGTATGCTTTCTTTACAATATGAATGTTTGCATGCCAATCATAGTCGTGTTTTGAAGAACCAAACAAATTACTAATGCAAAAAAAAAAAAAAAAAAAAAAAAGATATTGATAAGAATAGGCTATTGTATGCTGATCTGGAGTTAATTAGTTTTTCTTTTCATTTCCACCATGCTATAAAAACACATCAGTTCAAATCACCATTATTTCAACATGTTATTTAAGGGCAACATTTTCACTACAGTTTCAAAACAGCGATCAGTGAAAAATCCCTCATTCGTAAAGCTAGAATCCATGGCAAAGGCAAATAAATTAAATTTGTCAACTGGACAACCGTTTGTCCAGGTGAAAGACTTAATTTCTCTTTTGCCAAAACAGCGATCACTGAAATCTGGAAACCAGATAAAAAAAAAAATATATATATATATATATATATATATATATATATATATATATATATATATATATATATATATATATATATATATATATATATATATTTATTTTATTTTATTTTTCTATTGAAAATAACACATTTTATTTGAGTGCCATATGTAACCTGAACTTTAGACAACAGACAACAGCCTATGCCCAATAATTTACATTAAACCTTGTATGCTTTGAGGTTTACTTATTTTCATTTTACTAAAAGCTCTTCCGCGGTAAGTTTGCCTAGCACAAAATCAGTCTCATTTTTCGCGGCTGGATGTTACGAGGCTGTCCGGTAGATGGCGGAGCGCTAAGGTGAGCCTGTGTTGTGAGCTCCCTCCTTCTGCCCTATGCAGCGGAGAGGATGTTGATGCTGACGGAAAAGCACGAGGATCATATAAACATAGGACGATACGTCGCGTCCTTATTTTACGCAGTCCCACGATGGGAGGACAACAATCGTACTCACGGAGCGACGAGAAGACAGAGGATGGCAAGGCGTAAGGACGTCTCATCTGGATAAGATGACTCGAGCACAACGCGTGCAAAAGCAATGAAGTTTATAGAAGCCCATCATTGTAATTCATCAAACTAAAGTAACTGCTTTGCGATATTGCCCTGCACTGACTCCATGCGAGACTTACGCGCACTGATATTTGAGGTAACTATCAGTGATTAGTTTCAGAAGCTGTGGGAGGCGTGACAACCAAGGGACTGGGACTATATTTCTCCTAAAACAAACACGGGTATATGCTTTTGCAAACTACCATGCCTTCTGATCACGCCTGTTCAACTCTGCGCCCTCTCCATCTAATTAATCTAAGGACCTCCTTTGCATTGATTCGATGTGCCTGAACCGCTGACCCAAGTCAGATGGACCTTCCCTGCTGAATCTGAAGTGGAGTTTCCTTTCTTGTAATGACCTATTCCCTGTTCACGATGGCAGAGGGACGCGCTGATAGAACACATCCTGTGTCCTGTGTGGACAATGTCTGGAGTAAACCCGTGTTTCTCATGATAGAGCACTAACAGGAACACAGTCAGGTAGGCTAACTCAAGTTTGCACTAGTCCCAGTGATTGTTTACCTTTATATTTTATGCGGTTTATCCAATGCATAGACTTTTAAAGATGCGTCTGTGCCACGTGATGGCATAGACTTAGGACACATTTGATTTGTGTGGGCTACAGTGCAGTGCATGCTCTATTTTTAGCACACTGCCTTTGCTCAATGGCTTTCTGACATTCTTCTTTTTTCAAACTTGGACCACTGCACAGTACCTAAGAGGCAGAATGATGGACAACTCTTACCAGAAAACCTCCCTGTTCCTGTGCCCAAAATCCATTAGCCTAAGTGTGCTTTCAAAGGCTGAATACTGTTTTGCAGGGGGCATGGATAAATTTAATCCTGTGCGAAAATAAAACCTTTTGTAGGTTCTTTGCAGAGCAACTCTGGAGTGTTCAACGTCATTATTCTCTCATTGGTCATTGCTGTGTCTGCTTTCTGATGCTGAGACTGCTAATCAGAAGGAGCATGTCTGTGGGCGCTGCTATTAAAGCCCACTCAAGTCTACCAATCCAACCACACAAATATGCTGCTCTTTGTGACCACATGCTTTCTCTTTCCTCTTGCGGAGATTTTTGCAATTGAAAGTACTTTGCTTTCCACATTTTGGATTCCAGTGTTTTTTTGTCTTTGTGGTAGTCAATAAGCTTAAGTGATGTGCGTTATATGTGTGTTTTCATTGTGCAATTTATATTTATATGTCAACCCAAGAAACGCCCAAGAAACACAATAGCAAATATCAGTTATTTTACTGTATCCTTCTCTTTTTTATCCTACATGAGCCCTACAAGAGGCCGTAATGAGTCCCCCACGGCGGCCATCGAGTTCCCATGGTGAAAGGTAATTTCATGAAGCACTTTATTCACCTACATCTGGTGGTGTTTTGGTGATGTTTAACATTCCAGACAAAACAGTAACATCGTCATGGAGACAAGTTTGTGGCGAACCCCCAGCAAAAAGTTACATAGTGCCCCTTTAAAGTATGGTTGTCAATTTTCATAGATCAAAAGTATTCTTTCCAAGATATACATAGTTAAACTGGAATGGGAAGTCCTCAGGGTTAGTATTTTAAAATGTATGCAATATAATCACATCTGGAATTACACTGTATTTAAAAATGTTGTACCCAAATTCAAGTACTGCTGCGTCTTTTTGCCCGTCACAAACACTTATCAACAGTTTCTCACTGTGCTCCACAGGATGTCTTCTGAGAGCCTGCAGAGAAACAACAGTAGTAACTCTGGTGTAATCCTGGACATCTCAGCTCTCAAGATGGCCGACGTGGACACTGAGGTGCCTCCTCTTCCACCGCGCTACCGCTTCAGGGACCTGCTGCTGGGAGATCAGTCCTTTCAGAATGACGACAGGTAGCTTGCACTGTACATTATGTAATGGGCTAATTTTGCACATGTCTTTCTATTGAGCCAGTTATTTCTTTCTTTGTTGGCAAACTGTGCTGTTTGCAGTTTTATATCACATAATCTCTGTTTATATGATACAATTACTCCAAGTTGTGCAATTGCATGGTTGCTATGTGTACAAAAACTCAGACTGTTATTGTTGTTTTGCAGCTGATAATATCACTATGTGCTAGGGATGAAGAACATATAGTCTCAGCAGCAATTAAGGTTATATAATTAAATACTCAGAAATATGTTGCTTATTTTTTCAGTGTTGCCACAGATGATTAAATACTGATAGAAAATACTCTATGAAGTGCAATCAATATAAAATTCTTTGTAACACTGTGAGTTATTAAGAAGTGCTTCCCTTACTGCCCGTGCAAATGTTTGTGTTGTTGTGTACTAGGCTGAAATTAACCTATCCCTTGGCCCTCAAATGGCTCAGTTCCTCATAGACTTGCATTATTGCTTTGGTTGGAGACTCACATATGCTGTTTATTACCCATCAGTGTAGAATTAGAGGTGCTTCAGCCTTAGTTGTGTGCAGGGGAGCTCTCCATGGTACTGGACCATCATTGCACTAACAGCAACAGTAGTTGCTTCAATATTGGCTTGCTGGAAACAAATGGAGAATGTCACTGTACTTTCCCCAATGGTTTAAATTTCACTTCAGTTCTATTACTGTGTACATTTTCATTGTGCTTGTTTTCCAGTGGTATTTGTGGCTCTTAAATGCTTGTGACAGTAGCACAGCAGATATGTAATTTATATCTACTCTGTGTTTATCATTTGAGGGAATATAAAACTATATAAAGCTAATGTATATATTTATGTGTTTTCTTCCCCATTGAAACTCATGTTATCTCTGCCACCCAGGCTTCGATTGTTAACAGCTGCCCCAAGTCGATAACCTTTCTGTGGATGGCTTTTGTGTCTTGACCACTGGCTCTGTCCCTAGTGCTTCCTCTGGTAAATTGCTGTCATTGCTTTATTTGATTGCGCAGCCTTTTGTCTACTTATGTTGAGAGTCTAATTGTCCCCACCCTGTGTATACCATCTTCAATGAATGAACGCTCCAGTTTCTCTGTTGAGCACATACTGTCCGGACTGTACTAATATTTGCACAGAGGATACTAGAAACCCAAACTAAACAAAGGTTTGGAGAGTACAGCACATTTTTTCTGGTTTAAGCTGATTTGTGTGAGTGTTTTTGTCAGTCATTGCATGTTTCATTTGCCTGGTCCCTGATGTGACGGATCACTATTCAATTACAAACACTAATGAGGGCTTGTTGCTTGACTACAAATCTAAGTATCTCTACACTGAAAACAATACTGGAGGGTATCATCACATGCATGTGTTTTGTCACAGAACTACAATAGTCTGTTGTTAAAATGCCATTATGTTCTGTCAATGCCATCATGAATTTGAAAATAATGTGAAAAACAATTCACTATATCAACAAGATGAAGCCATTTAGGACATTGTTTTAGTTGTAGAGAAGAAGTAGTTGACAAAAAATTATACCCAGCTACTAATATTAAAACTAAACTATTGATTCTGATTATTAGGTATCAGAACTGAATAGGCCTGTCACAATAACACTATTTCAATATATAGTAAATCTAGATGATAAATGATGATATTGAAACCAAACCATAAAGCAGAAAGATACCCCAAAAATTATTCTATATTATATAAAAATATATGAACTGCAATAAATAAATATAGTTTATGTGTAGTATAGAGTATAGTTTGTAGCTATAATGAGTCATAGAAATTCAAATTAAAACTTCTTCAGCTCACATCTCATTGTGGTATAGAAAAGTGTTTAAAAAAGAGTAATTGACCCCAAAAATGTGTGTTCCATATGTAATGTATTGAACAATAACACATGAAACAACAACAACAACAAGAGTCTTATCGTAACAGGCCTAGTCCTGTAAAACTACATTAACATCAGTAGTAGATCAAATGGTAAAATTAGAAGAAGCTATGTTTTATTCTGAAAACTGCTTTTATTGTATGTAATTGTGATGTGCAAGTGGAGATAGTAAAGAAAGTCTCACTGAAAAGTAACAGAGCAGTGTTTTGTTATTGTGGTGCCTAAATTCCAAGTTTTTCGAGCCATTTTAAATTTAGCTACCCTAACAACAAGTAGATATTAATGGGCTTGGGGGTGTTTTTTCGGTGGCCAGTCTGTGTCTCTGGGTTGATTATTCCCTGAGAAGAAGCTTTGTCGGGTGGAAGCGCTTTGAAACAAATTAACCGCCAGAGGGACAGTCAGGCCCCATCCGACCTCGGTGGCCTTATGGCTTTTTGCATCTGCATTCTTGCATCTGCCATAATGCACTGTGAGGCAGGAGGTCATTGCCTATGGACAGTAATATTGCAGAACGTCACTTCGCACAGTGTCAATAAAGCAACAAAAGTAAACATGTCTACACATAGTCATTCAGTTTAATTCAAATCAAGTTTATTTATAAAGCACATTTAAAACAACTTCAGCTGACCAAGTGCTTCACATAAAAACAACAAAAACAGAAAAAAACATATATAATATATAATATACAATACATGTGAAAACTACAACAAAACACCAAGATAACCTGACTAGCTAGTATTAAATGCCAGGGAGAAGAGGTACGTTTTCAGTCTAGTCTTAAACTGCATTACAGACTGAAGTTCCTCTTCCCTGAGAGGAAGAGGAAGGCTGTTTCCCAGTCTGGGCGCTGTCACCTCTCGTCTTGAGCCTAGTTTTGAGCACGACCAACAGGATTTGGTCAGCTGATCTCAGGGATCTGGGCGGAGTACAGGGCTGCAGTAATTCCCTCAAATAGACTGGACCCATAGAGTGTAAACATTTGAACGCAATCAATAGCATTTCAAATTGCACCCGATATAAGATAGGGAGCCAGAGCAGTTTGCATAGTACTGGTGTGATGTGTTCTCGTCTCTTGGTATTTATCAGCATATGAGCTCCAGTGTTCTAGGCATGTTGCGCTGCAGGGAGCCCTGGTCCATAAATACAAAGAATTGCAATTACAAACACATGGATAGCTTTTTCAAAATCCACCTGTGGGAGGTAGGGCTTTATTTTAACAATGAGCCTCAACTGAAAGAAGCTGGACTTTATGACAGAGCTAATGTGCTTGTCCAGTTTGAACATAGACTCCACAATCACCCCAAGATTCCTCACTTCAGGGAGACAATAGGAGGACAGAGGACCAGTCCCACTGTCATGTCCAAGCAGTGGGTTAGTTTTGCCCAAACACCACAATCTCAGTTTTATTTTGATTTAAGTTCAGGACGTGTGTGCTCAGCCAAGTCTATACATCCCTGAGACAGTCCTGCTAGAGCTTTGATTGTGCTCTGGTTGTCTTTTGCGGTCACTGGCAGATATATTTGTAAAATTCCTGTCTGACAAATATGACCGAAACAGAGCGCTGTACCCTTAATGCCCACATGTGTATCCAGGCGGGACAGAGGGATGCTGTGAACCACTATGTCAAAGGCGGCTGTCTAAATGTCTAAAAGCAAAAGAACTGCAGATTTCCCAGAGTCAACAGTTAAAAGCAGGTCATTAAAAACTTTTAAAAGAGCTGTTTTGTGACTGTGTTGGAATTTAAAATCATATTGGAAAACTACAGCATGTTTGAGGACAGTGAGTGGAAAAACAACCAGACATCAGAGATGAGTTCAGAGCATTAGCAATATAAGGTCCAATAGAATCAAAAACATCTTTGAACAGATGACTTGGAATAATATCTAGAGGACACAAGGAAGACTTTAGCTGTTGAACAGTTTTCAAGTCTGAAAGAGATGCTGGCTCAGAAACACGAAGACTGAATTACAGACAGTTGAAGCTACAAGGTCCCCAGCAGAAGACAGTGACAGTCTAAGAGATGAGACCTTATCCCTAAAGAATGATAAGCAGTGTAAATGAGGGCACAACAACATTTGTCATACATGGATTTACCAGGGACTTCAGAGTACTAAAAAGCAATCTGAGATTTGTGGCACTTTGTTGATTGCTCTAAAACTGCATTTAGCAGCTTTAACTACCTCTGATATTCGACCAAACTGGCTCTTGATATTTGCAGGGAAACCTGTAGTCTTCTTTCCATCTCCTCTCAGCATGCCTAGCCTTGCATGTATTCTCATTTAGTCAAGGCTATGCCATTGGCTTTGCATGCTTTAGCCTTAATAGAGCCACTGCATCCAAAAACTCACTGAAACAAGAGAGCAGACCATCCGCCGTGGTGTTTTACCAGTCACCTTGGTTCATAATTTCCAATGCACTGAACATGCCAGAAAACAACGAAGCAGTCATAGAGTGTGCCCACTTGGCACACTGGGATGCACTGACCAACCACACTTTGGGGCAGCATTACAGAGAACAACACAGAAAGCGGTCCGAAAAATGTGTTTCACAAATCTCCATTAGATTAGATTTAAGACCAAAAGACAATACTAAGTCCAGTGTGTATCCTTTTTCGTGTGTTGAGCCCGACACGACTGGATTAAGTGAAACAAATCAAACTTAAAAAGTCTTTCGCCAGAGGTCATGTTTGAACCAAGCAACCAAACCCTATATGTTGTTGTAGAGTTGTGGCAAAACTCAGTGTTCAGGTAGAAACCAATTGATGCTAAAACTAGTACTAAAAGCAGATACTCATTAGCGATATAGAAGAAATAACATAAACCTAATCAGATACACAGGATAAATGATCTGATATGGACCCTATTTTTATATTTTGACAAAAGTGGAATCAATTGACAATTGATGTTTGATTTAGTTTGTTTTTCTTGCGTGCGTGTGCGTGCATGTGTGTGTGTGTGTGCGATGCGTGTGTGTGTGTGTGCAGATGGGTGGTTCAGTGGTGGGATGTGGGAGGGTTTTGTCTTGTTTTGGTTTTGTATCAAATTTTCTAAATTGGGGGAAACAATATCTGTATCAGAAC